CCGATTTTGAATTGTAATCCCCTTTTCTACAGAACTGAACAGGCTAGCCGACCCTGGCAAGCTCGGTGGTCGAGTGGTAAAGATATGCAGAAAAACAGCAGCATAACGTTGGCGGCGATCCGTGGGGGGGGGGGGGGGGATAAGACAGGTCCCCTAACTCCCCAATAATTTTTGGGAGGGGGACACCAATGGCGATGTCCCCCTCTGTATTTTCCAAATTGGTTTAATAGCCACTTCTTTTGGCGTAAGTGCGACAGTTTACTGTATCCTGCGGGGAACTTGCATAAAGGTATGACTTGAAGATGTATACATGTTTGAAAACGCCCTCTTGAATCAGATGGTGTCCAGCTCGCCCTAGTCTATGAAATATCCCCTTGCGATTGGATTGTCTATGATATGCGAGCAGATTCCGCGATTAATTATGAAACACAAGACTGCGTCTTGACTTCGACATTCTGACCATTCTGCGGGCGCCTTCTATCGGGTCTCTGGTAACCCATTGTAGTACAAAATCGTGACAGCCAAATTGACCAATCAACAACTTAGTCCACATTTCTGATCTAAACTGCGTTACAATTTCTAAGGTCGACTCCGATTGGCTGGCGCACGGGACCTTTATAAGTTTGCATGCTTAGATACATCAGACGTTGGACAGGAGACACAAAGGGTTCCGTTGGACAACGGGTGATACTTATGGCTGGCGCCTGGGTACCGGTTGCATAAAATTGCATTGCTCACATAGTATCAGACGTTGGTTACGGAGAGACCCCCTCCCCCATCGTTGACAAGAAATCGCCGTCCGTGGAGTGGTAATACGTTAATCAGGAATAAGCAGGAGGTCGTGGGTTCACGTCACACCTGAGCAAGCCTTATACAATTATGCTGGTGATTCAAGTACAAAATCAAATTGACACCCAATCGGGTTTTATTTGATGCAAGTTAGTTGTGTCAGTGTAGCCGCGCTATTCCGAATTGTGTTATCAACAGATTCTTTGAAAACTAGGTACCTATTATTTCCAAAAGAAACATATTCTATTTATTGGCCTATTTTTGAAAAAAAAGACATTCAACACACACACAGGAGTTCCGGCTCTAGAGTGTTCCGGCACTTAAAATATTATTTTCAATAATATTCGTTGTCGTTCCGGTTACAAAGACCAGGATACGGACACGCCCCTCGCCTAGTTTGGTGTATAAATCAAGTACCGTAACTCCATTTTTAAGGCTTTGTGTTCTGTTTGAAAGGTTTGCTTTTCAGTCCCTGGGTATTGTTTTTTTTCTTATTTTGATTTATCTCGCTTTGTTATGATTCGAGAGATCCTGGTTATATGAAAAGAAAAAAAGAAAAATAATAACAATAATAATAGAGAAATTTATAAAGCGCAGACAATAAAATGAACATAGCAACGATGCATAATCGATTCTTGGCCGCTTGAAACGTGCAAAGTATTTTAATTGTTATGGTAGTCGACTGTTTCATTGCAGTTCAGATTCTCTGAAAACTAGGTACCTATTATTTCAAAAAGAAACATTTTCTATTTATTGGCCTATTTTTGGAAAAAAGACATTCAACACACACACACAGGAGTTCCGGCTTTTGAGTGTTCCGGCACTTAAAATATTATGTTCAATAATATTCTTTGTTGTTCCGGTTACAAAGACCAGGATACGGACTGACCCCTGAAGAAATTCAGAACCCCCCCCCCAAAAAAAAGAAAGAAATATAATACCGAAAAGTAAATAACCTCTAACGACACGCCCCTCGCCTAGTTTGGTGTATGAATCAAGTACCGTAACTCCATTTTTAAGGCTTTTTGTTCTGGTTTGAAAGGTTTGCTTTTCATTCCCTGGGTATAGTTTTTTTTCTTATTTTGATTTAGCTCGCTTTGTTATGATTCGAGAGATCCTGCATGGTTACATGAAAAGAACAGAAGAAAAATGAACATAGCAACGATGCATTATCAATTCTTGGCCGCTTGAAACGTGCAAAGTATTTTAATTGTTTTGGTAGTCGACTGTTTCGTTGCAGTTCAGATAAAGTGTTCAAAGTCTCTTTAAATTGATAAGAACTAATACACACTTCTTTGTTGTCGTTGGAAAACAGGCCTATCTATTGTAAAGATAATGGGTGCGGGTATGATGTGTCAATGATATACCTTATTCTGTAACAGAAATTGCACATTTTGTTGTGAAATATTTGAAAAGCTACACTGGGTGTATGGTCTGTGTATGGTATGGTTTGAATTTGTTGAATTCCCTGTAACATTTTCTAAAAGACGATTCTCTCTTGTCGGAACCAGTTAATCCTGAAACCAAACACATTTTGTCATACTATACATATATTTTGTTTCAGTGAGTTTCAAAATAAGCACAAATAATAAATAACAAATAATAATATATGTGGCACAAAGGATCAAATTGACACGTGAAAATGCAAGTCCGACGTATTACTTTTATGTCATCAAAATGTTTGGCTCGTCTAGTAAATTTATTTTCTTGACCCCCCCCCTCAAAAAAATGCAAAAGTACCAACTCACGACTTTTCTTCTATGATCAAGTATTTATATAATCAAATTGTGAAGCTTTCGCAGCTTGAACGTCAGTCTGCTTCGACTTGTGAGAAACGTTATTCGCCATTCCCTTTAGTTATTATTTTATTCGAAATATCGAAAATTATTCATGCAGGTATAGCAAGTCCGCGGCGTTTATTACACCATGCCGCAACAACTGCTTGTACAGACGCAGAGAGAAAATGATATGCGTTCTACCTCGGAGTGCCAAAATATGATAATAATTTCCCCATATGAATTTGACGAGGCACAGGGGTTACGCGGTCGCTAGTGTGCGAGTGTAGGGCATCTATGCCCGCATGAAGTCTGCTCATTCATGTATAACCGGCATCAATGACAATTATGCAGCACTGTATATACAACTCAGGATATTATTAAACTACCAGAGATATATTTTCCCCCCCAACTGACATGTTTAGATATAACTGTAATGCTTATAATAAATCTCCGATTGGCCCCTATTAAAAAGAAATTGAAAAAAAAATAACCACGATTGAAAAAGTTTACAAAATATTGAGATTTCTCGTTTGGGATTGTGCATGCATTAATTTTTGTTTGTTTTACCTTCACACCTTCAAGTCATTATCCCATAAGTATATTGACTGACTATACAGGCACCATCCAAAATTTGGATTTCTTTCCGTATGTGAACATTCGATGCGTTGATTTCAATAACTAAAATCAGAATATATTTAATATTTCCTTCCCATAAAAATTTATCCTGCGGCCTAATTGCCTATGTATAAGTATCAGGGCTTACGCAAATCCCTTGAAGAGGACCCCACTTCATTTTCCTAAGACCCTCCACAGTAGATGACTTTGAAAGCTTATAATTCAAGTCAAGGAATGTAGTTGAGATCTCAGTATCTTCATATGGTCAACTTCAGTGCCAAATTTCACAGTGAGTTTCAATCAAACACACAGCGTCATCCAACTTTTTGCCTTTCAAATCACGATCAGGTTTGAATCAATGGGTTCATTAATGCCCTGCCAGCCGATGCAACATTTTAATTATATATTATTCACTTTTTACCCAATTGGTTTAACAAATTTTTTTTTGCTCTAGTTGAATTTGTCACTTAACGTGATCTTTGTATTCGTTACAGGCAGAACCACGATAACGCTACACTCTATTTATGTCGACTGCAGATTTGGGAACACTATGCATGGCCACCGCATACACTTAATTCATTTCACAGCTGACCTGCAAATTGTCACCCCGGTTCATCCATCTCAGTGATTTCTCATGACTTTCTGACTAAATTTAGCTTCAGAAACACCTTACTATAATTATTACACGCCCGCTTGAGAATCAGGATGCTTACATGTATTAAGGCCATTACCATTTCATCCGCGCATGTCATATACAGTTATACAGCGCTAACTGCATGGCAACGTGTAGCATGGTTATCTGATTTGGTTTCAACCTGCCAGCTGGAGTTAACATCACTTTGCGCGTTTGCAGCAGCTGCGCACGGGCAACTTAATCCTGCAAATTATTTCACGATAATGGATTGTTGTCAGACAGAATGATCTTCTACATCTTGTGAAAAATGAGACTCAATGAAAATGCATGACAGACTTGACACACAAATAAGCTATAAACCTTGTGCGTTTGCAGGTGTCTAAGAGGGCGTTCCTTGTTGTTTTAATGTAGTAACAATGAATAGGCCTACACAAAGGGTTTACTCAAGCCTTTCCCAGCGATGCGAAACCACTGCCCTCTGAGTCCTCCTTAACGCAGAAGGTCTATAGGACAAATGTTGCGAAATTGTGAAACATCCATTTAACACCTGTAAATTATGACCCTATTATGACTGAGTGTTACCCAAGTAAAGTCATTACATATTACGCGTACATGGCATGAACAGATTATGTAGCATACCGCTGTAATTCCAATACAGGAAGGATCTCGATTTGCGAAGAGAAAAAAGGTAAATCATTCAATAATCTGCGATGCAAAATTCTATCATAGGTTATTGAAAAATGGTTGCTAATTAGTCGAACCGTAAGTTATATTTTTATCAAGTCACATAAAGCATCTTTCGGGGCAATTTAGATCCATGCTCTAAATGTCGACAGTTTTGACATTCGCTTAGCCATGGCTCATTCCTCCATGGTTTACACAGGCACCTCTCAGGATGTATTTTCGCAAGAGTCATGCACGTCTGCTACGCCAACGCATTGTTCACCTGTTGCTCTCTATTCAGTGCTTGTATAACATTAACATATGACACCTTATACATGTAACACGTGGTGTTGCCTAGTGTTTCCAGAAAAACCTAATACTCCACCCGGCAACAACATTTCAAATTAGACATCCAAGTAAACATTGTATGCAAAATGTCCAGTAACGTAACACATTGTTGCGGATTCCCAACATTTCTTTATTGTTTTGGGAGTAGTAATTAACAAAAATATAAATTTCCCCCCCATGTTTGTCCAGCGTCCACGTGTGTCATTCAGGATCTTCAAACTATCTAGTATCGTGTCACCGGTCACCACGGAGAAAAGGTTAGTTAAACTACTTTCTTTTGTGCGATTTAAATTTCAATAATAGTGCTCTCATACATGTGTGTTGAGTTTTCATTAACAAAAAAGTTACTTGACTGACTGCTTTAGAAAGATTAAATAATTGAAGAAAAATTTAAACAATATCTAGATGATAACATCAACACAGATACAAGACAATGGGAAAAGTCTTATACTATAAAAATGTGACAGTGCAAAACGATTTTGACAAATACATCATGTCAATCTTTTCAAAGCAATCTTTTCAAAGCACAAAAATCTGCACATCACCAGTTGAACCCGAGGTTGCATATTTGATATGAAGTAACCGCTGAGGACACTATCCCGTACCCCTGGGCGTATTTTGGTTTGAGCTTGAGTATGCTGGGTCACGCCGCACTGAGATGTTCTCCGCTAGAATCCAACGAGTGCAAGGTGTTCCCATAAGCCCTTATCAGTTCTCCGTCCAGCATTATTCAAACATGGCAGCTGGGCGCGGGAACGATAAGGAGTAAAGGAAACAATATGGCCGCTAGGCCCGAGGGACGAAGGAGCATCCGCTGATGCATGTATTCATGACTTGACCCTCCGTGGACCGTATACGTCGACGACTCACCTGGTGATGAACAAAAGAGGAAACATAAGTTAACACTGAAACGAGTCGCTAGAAATATTTAATGTCAACATATGTTGTCGTGTCAATCGCCTTCGAGAGGATAATCAGTTGACAAAATATGCGGGTGGAATATCGACTAGCTGAAAGTGTTACTGAGCAGACCCATTGTGTTCAGTGTTGGCAGTTAGCCAAGCTTCCATTGAACAAACACCGAAAAAAACGTAGAAAAACATATTTAATAGCCAAAAAGCGAGGGCTATTATAACTTGTTACGTCACCATCCAATTTGAGAAGGTATGCTAAACGCATCAATAAATGGACCTGCACATTCCGTAGCAACTACCGTGGTATCCTGGGTAACGCATAAATTATTGGACCATACCATCGTCGGCCTCAATGCGCTGTGGTGTTTCATTAATATTGATTACATTGGTTGATAACGAGGTTGTAATATGACCGTGACGTCACGGTGCCTTTATAGTGGCGCTTAAGAAAATGGTATACCAGCAAAACCGTTACACCATTCACTGTGGCCGGGTCATTTTCATGCACGATTACGCACAGGAGCAAAAAATGCAAAACGATGACCTTACAATACAAGAAAACACTCGAAGACATTCAGGCCGAACTCTAGAAGGTTTCAAAAGCCAGAGCCAATGTTCTGAATCAACGAAACATCCGAATTTAAATCCTTTTTGATCTTAATAGTCGTGAATTAATATAATTCCGACACTGGCGGATTCCAGGACTATCTTGACTTCACAGTCCAATGAACGTGTGTGTGATCTTTCAATCAAGAGCTGAAATGCAACCCGAACGGCAATTACACGATGACGATCGCGTGCATTCTCGTTGAAATGCAATGAATCGGCCATATGTTACCAGCGAAACACATTCACATTATTGGTATCAAATATCGCTATGATATTTAATTGAGTTATAGTTCAACTGAAGGTTGCCAGTACATGAACAACAGAGACGCACACCGACAATTCTCCAAATCCTTGTATTTTAGCACTAATTACCCTGAGAGCACGCGCTAGGTTCCAATCCTGCTAATTATATAGTTACGGTCCACCAAAACTGTAAAACCACAATTTCCCAGGGGATAAGTCATAAGAAAATGGACACTGCAAAATTTCGCGAGGGACAATCTGTTAAGCCCGGTTCACACTTCATGCGAATGCGAATGTGAAGCGAATTTTACGTCATGAAACGTTCGCTGTGAAAGTCGCCTGAGTTGAAATGTTCAACTTTTACGAATTCGCAGCGCAAATACTTGCCACGTCGTCACAAATTCGCGTTCGCTTTCGCTTTCGCTTTCGCGCCGAGTATGAACCGGGCTTCAGACTGTGGGGAGCAATATTGGCGAATAAATGGTTAACATTACATCAATACGAAGGAGTCTCTAAGGGTCTCTTGTTAGAAACGTGGACAAAACTCCCCAGTTTTATTAAAATACTACAGTTGCACTTTCCATTGTCTTTCCCTCAAAAGTAACTTAAAGAAATTGCCATTAGTACCTGGAAAATCTTCCTATGAGTTTTTACCAACGGTAACGCTTTGCACCTACGAAATTTCAGGTCAAACAATCTTTTTTCCCCTGTAAAATACAGATTTGCAAAGATTTTCGTCCAAAGCGTAAAACTCACCAAAGCAAAAGTTGCATATAGGCTCACACAGTGAACCGATTCAAGTCGCACTTTTCCTCTTTGTGTTGGGCAAACAGTCACCAAGGGTAGGCCCGCGGCAAGTACTTTATGGGGGCCTAGCCCAACTTGTGTCACTTACAAAGCTGTATTTGTGTGAAGATGATAATAAATCATTTTCGTGTGTCGCGCCTGTAAAATGTGATTTTGTGATATGCTTTGATGTAGCGACATAGGATGCAAGTTATGTCGTCAGATTGCGTCAAATCATCAAAGGAGGAAGGGTTTCAATGCCTAAAAACAATTTATTGTATTGATTTTGTTTCGTTTGGACATCTTGTGGATCGGCTTCAGTGTTCCATAGTGTTCTAGTATTCCCCAGTTATACTTTTCGATTTCGTAGCATTTTCCCAACATCAATCAATCCATATCAATTTCAACAGCAACATTCTAAAGGAAAAGTGCACCTTCAGAATGGTAGAATGGGGCTGCATTTGTGTGAAGATGATAATAAATCATTTTGTGTGTCGCGCCTGTAAAACGTTGATTTTGTGATATTCTTTGATGTAGCGACAGGATGCAAGTTATGTCGTCAGATTACGTCAAATCAACAAAGGAGGAAGACTTTCAATGCCTAAAATCAATTTATTGTATTGATTTTGTTTCGATTTGGACATCTTTTGGATCCGTTTCAGTGTTCCATAGTGTTCAAGTAGGCCTATTTCTCAGGTAGCATTTTCCCAACATCAATCAATCCAAATAACAGCAACATTCTAAAGGAAAAGTGCAACTTTAAAATGGTAGAACGGGACGTGTAACGTGCTTCAGACCCAGGACTGAGGCTATTTATCCGGGCCCTTTTCAGGGTAGTGGAGGTCAATCGACCGTTCCAGTTCTGACCTTTAATGGAAAAAAAAATGTGTCCGCTATTTTCTTTTCAGTGACTGATAGCCACGCAGGGGAGACAGATTGATGTTGTGCTGCTGTCCTATGTGACCACGGTTTGAGTATACTGATTTCAGTCAGGTCTTCCAAGCATATCTTATCGGAGTTTTCCTCCCCGGCCTGAATTTATATGCCCTTTATTTTAAGGCTTCCGAACTTCTGTGCCCATGTATGCTTCAGCCTGGAGTTTTACTATACCTAAAATAATTACATTTTTTTTAAAAATATTGCTAAAATTGTTGATGAAAATTAGCCGTTTTGGTTGAGTGATTACAATATCATCGCAAAATGGACAGATTAAATGATATTTTTGTTATGCAGTTTGTTCGATTGCAGCTCTGGCTGTTTCTGAGACAATGACGAGAAACGCTTTCTAGGAAACAAGCTTTTTCAGTTATTTTATACGGACAGGTACATTTTGTCTAATGCTAGGCGCCTACAGACGTCGACTAAATTAGATGATTTGATTTCAACGCTTATAGTGAATTTCGTATTCAAATCCACTTTGTATAAATTCCCGCCATTTTATCCACTTAAACCATATGTTCAACATACCCGACGATAAAATACACAGCAACTATACAATATTCAGCCCATAGCCTGGCTGTACTTTCCCCATCACGAGGCGGGAATTAAGCAAACGGGCAACGGAGGCAGCGAAGCGGAATGAAGGGGACGATATTACAGAGCGCCCGGTCTAATGAACTTCCCTGCTCGCGTATACTGTCGTGCCGCGGTGCTATGCATAATTTAACAGGGACCCCAGCCCAGCTATATACGGACAGGGAAACACTGTTATCGGCAGAATGATTAAACATGCTACTTGAGAATAATAAGAGAATAAGTCAGCTGGCAGTTGGCGATAATGTAGGAACTTACGACCACCACAAAGCAAATTGGCAGTTTGGTGATTTCGCCATACTATAAAATGTCCTTTCTACAACGGTACTTTGCAGCAGAGTGGAACTGTCTCATTTCAAGGCTACATGCATTGAAGGGTGAAAAAAATTTATTTAAAAAAAAGTATTTAACAAATTATATATATATAAAAAAAGTTATAGTATTTAAAAAAAAAATTGCTACAAATTAAATGATAAAATATACAACTGCGAATTCGCAAAGAAAAATCACAGCCATGGACACATATTATTGTATCGCTTTTAAATCTGAAATAAAAACGGAGTCTTAAAAAATCCTTGTCCAAACATTTTGCGGGACACCAAAGTGTGATTCATTGAATACAAGAATTAACAGATTAAAGGATTCCGACCTTCTCCCAGGCGGATTTTCTTTTGGCTATTGTTTGCCATTCTTTGCCGAGGAGTTATGAGTCTTAAGAGCATTAGCCTTGTGTACTCAAGATGTTTACCAACCTCAGAAAGAAAAAAAATACAGAGAGATCTTGAGAAAGTTTGAATACCCACAAGAAAGAAACTTGTTCCACTTTCACATTATTTCTGACTGGATGGACAATATTGTCCTATGCTCAGCACCAACCCCAAGGTTCCACCCCCACTTGAGATGAAGTCTCGGCCCATTTCCAACATAATAATGCTGCCTGGTGCCTGCGGCCATGATAAGGCCACACCTGTTTGATTATAGAAAAAAAAATACCATAAGGTCAGTGAATTTGAATAAGAATAATTTGCATGGGTCAGGTCAGTGATTATCAACTATAGGCTTTTTGTTGGAGTTTTTCTATTTTGATCAGAAATATTATTTTGACCTGGTTGTATTATTAAGTAGTTCCTCATACCGAAAAGCAGGGAGAATTTATTTACTGGAATTGTAAAAGACACTTCCTTATTGATTGGCGCAGTTGAATAATTGGTGCAATCTTGACCTGTATACGAAGTGAATGGACTGACGTCATTTTGAATATGCATTAGGATCGGCCAACCGTGAGAAGCGGACTGGCTCGCACAATGATACGCAGTGCATAACTTGTTTTCACCAAACACGCAAGATGAAATATTTATCATTCTGTGCTTTCAATTCTCATCTTTTTTTGTACTATATTATATTTGATAACTGCTTTTTCAGGAATTGTTCTTTCCTACACCCTTGCTTTTAAGTGGCATCGCGCGCACTCGGCCAGTTTCTCAGTAAATCCTTCCAGGCGATAGGAAGGGATTATCTCAATCGCGAATTTCCTCTTTCAACGGTATAAAAAAGTGAAAGAAAATCTCACTGGGCTCCCTAGACAATGAAATCGGAGGCAAGTGAAACTCCAGTTAGTTGGCTGCACGTGACGGTGAAAGTGTCGCCAAAATCCTAATCAGCTGTACGCTTCGCGTGCCCGTTTGTTCGCTTCAACCCCCCCCCCCATTCTATCCTATGAATGAATTCAAAGCCTAGCCTAGCCGCAGGACACGCGAGCTACCCCCTTTTTTACCCTGCACCAGCATCAAAGAACGTTAATACCATTTTATATACTTATTTCAATACAAAACCTGCAGCCGGTGGTTTAGTTAGGTTCACAATGGAAAGTACCCAAAAGTGTGGGGAAACAGCACAATGACCTTTTTCTTAGCCCCTACCTTGGACGCACACAATGCTCCCGATAACAGCAAACACAACAACAAAGAACCATGCTTCTAGAGGCGCCAAATTAGAAGGGTCGCATCCAGTTTGGAGATTTATAAGCAGTAGATTAATATAACCTCTTCACATTTTCTCTCTTTTTAACAAAGAAATTTACTTCCGTTTTGTTTCTTTTCTTTTCTTTTCTTTTCACGTTCCTTGTGTGTTTTTAATTTTGTTTAGTTGAATGATTTAATCAGCTAATACACCACTTCCTCAACGCATAATGATGGGGTTTCTTTGTTAAACTTCTCCTTTTTTTCTCCCGCCTAAAGCTACGACAGGTGTTAACCCCACAACTCACTCCATATGGCCTTTTGTTACAGACTTTCCTCTTTTGGACAGTAAAATTATTAAATAATGATTTAATTTTTTTGTAGCGTCGCTTTTCTTCACGAAGGGACGAATTTGTAAAAAAATCATCACATTTTTGAATTTCTATTTTGAATTTGAACAAAACAATTGAAGTTAATCGAAATCTACAGCCTGATGAGGTTTATTTTCAAATCTATCAAAATATCGCAGGCAGCAAAGCCAACATCTCTTAGTTTGATCAATAAGTGTCAACCTATGGTCTAGATCCATGAATGACACTGTATCGTCTTGCTCTAAATTACATCAAGGCACTCTGCACACATACACGCCTACACACATCTATACTGGAATTTGTATCCTTGCACTGAACACCGTTACATGCAAACGTCAGAGGCTCGAACACTCGAGAAGACTAGACAAACCAATCAAAGGAAAATGCCGCCAACACAGCAGCATGTTTACAAAGACATCAATTCAATTCGATCAACAGAAAGGAAAGTACATGTAGTTACAATGTAAAAAATGGCAGGAGAACTGATAAGGTGATATATGACCAACAACGGCACCCGTACAGTTACTCCACACGGTCGTTCATTTAATGAGAAAGACCGCAGTCGCACACATATATACGTACGTACACACACCATCATCATTCCGACGCCATAAACGATTGTGCTATCTTCAGTAGACGAACATTTCTATTTTACGCGGACATAAAAAATGATATCTAAATTAGGATGATTAGCACTGACCTGTCAAGATCTTTGTAATCAGGATGGATACATCCACATGACGATAGTGCATCTTCAAGATGCTAGACCTGCTCTGACAGTGAGATGCGGATGCAGTCACGGTTATTGTGTTGGACGCAGGAAGATGGAAAGGAAATGAATGACCGCCGGGAGGGAGATGTGTTGGTCAAGCATCCAGTACTTATCACCGGAGCGAAGGCGAGTTGTCCTCCCGGACTGAGGTAGCGATCGAATCGTCGTCTCCACTGCGCCAATGAGGACACGCACAGAGCTAGCTACGCATGATGCAGGTAGACCGGGTTATAATGGGATGACGAACCTACGGAATAGTTGACGTGTGGCGAATGAATCATAGCTAGCGGATCGTACAGTGATGCAACGACGTACGCGGTGCCTTAATGATGCGGGTATATGGAGGGGATGTAGGTCCACATAACGACATCCACAGAGAGACAGATCGATGACGGAGCGAGAAGCCTCCTCATCATCGTCGTCATCAGACGGCGAGGGCAACCTAGCCTCGCAGATGGCAGTTCGAGAGTCCAGGCATCAGCAGCTTGTTGATCACATCAGGCAGGCAGCAGCGACTGGTCGCAGTGAGCTCACCAAGCTAACAACCCACCAGTTTCCCCTGTTTCCTATCCCCTCCACGTTTCTCTCAGTCTCCTCCCGGCACCGCAGTCACCTACAAAATGGGCGTGGTTTCCACTCTCCATTTCAATATCCTAGCTCTAACCGCCAAGGTTGTTGCAGCACGGCATGGTGCCAAAGCCCATTCGTCAGCGGTAGCAGGCGCACCGTATCATGACGAAACGACACACGATGTACATCAGTGCGTGGATCCTCGCTTGACTGCGCATGCATAAAAGCACCAGAGCAAAACGACGGGCCCAGTCACCGTAGACGCACGCGATATATTCAACAGTATTCCTCAAACCGCCATAAAACAGTGTCTTGCATAGTTAATATATCACACAAATTGCTGCCATATTTTATCATCGCAACCTCTCACCACAACGGATTAAATAATGATGCTAAACCAAGAATAAAACGTTTGACTCCTGAACCCCAAATGGAGATTGGTTGTCTTAGGCAGATGCGTAAATTCCTTTGGTATTCGAGTATCACAAGTCCAAATTTTAATGACATCATTATCTATGTCTATGTTGTACCAAAATAAGATGACGTAAAGTAACTTAACACACAGATCATTGTTACAGTAGTCATAATTTATGGTACAAATTGCAGAAACAATAGCTTGTTCTCGATTTGCATGAATACTGAGAAATAATCATTCATCTGTTGTATCTGTTGAGGACGCAAAACATAACAACATATGCAGTAATTGTTTCTTTGTGAAGAGACGCTGCGTTGACACTGTGAACACCATATTGCAGCACAGCAGCATACTTCAAATGTTATAATATAAAACATGCCTCTGCCTAATATAATTTGCAGCAGATCTCTTATACATGAGTACCGATTTCAACTTGCATCCTTTTTAACTTCTCTTCCATATATCTAATATGTTATTGTCACACTTTCAAAACTCCACAATTGCAAACAAATTGGCATGACAGACCTCAGCACATATTCATGCATGTTGATATCAACTGCGTGGGATATGGCATTCAGTAGTCACGAACTATTTCATTACAAGATGACATTAATGGATGACACAGTGTTATTACAAACCATACAACTAGCTTGAAAAAAAGTGATTTGGATTTGTTTCGAACACGAATCCCCCTTACACGCAAAGAGTCAGGTGCCTTGACTTGGGAGCAATACCTCCCACGATACGGACTCACTGCGATTGTCATGGTACCTCGGTCAGTTTCCAGACCGTGGTGGGGCTATATCCAGTTAGAAAATATACAACATATTTAATGAATCTCTTTGCAATGAAGTATTTTGAAGAGAGAAAAAAAGACGCCATCTCGACAAAAAATATATACAGTAAAGAACTACATGAATAAATACGTGCGCCCTCCTTTGTCCAATCCTGGAAAACTTCCGACTTTAATTCACGGATGTCCAGTATGGTTTGTGATCAATGTTATTTGAATGACTCAGGCCTATACAAGGACCTAGTCGTCAGGCTGACACTACAGTTTGCAACCATGATATACATGGGGAAAATTTTCGTAAAGACAAAAAGTTAACTGCAAGTTAAGTGCAAAGTGTGTTGCAAGGCAGAAACAGGTCAAACAGTCAAAATGCCATTTGTGATGTATGCTGCTTCTATGGTGGCTTACAGCCATAAAACAACGGAGGTTTGCTCAGTAATACTTTTCTTCCAACACTTGTCAAAAACCGCCGGCCTGTCCGTCGCACTGTTCGTTATATGGCGTAACTCGTAATCTTGGGGGACAGCTTTTAAGTCCACACGAGCAAAACACTTTGAAGTTTACTTCAAATTTAGTCTCGTGTACCTGTATAGCCTTTGAAGGAATCTGTATTGATTTTCAGGGTCCTATATTGTTAGTTCACTACTACAATGAGACCATGATTTTGACAATTCGTCATTTCTAAACTCAAGGCTTTGTGGAGTAACAATAGTGTATTGATCTTGGTCTAAACTTTACTTGTCGATCTATGGAAAAAAAATGAGCAACACCATGGAGGGTTGATTGAATAGTCAGTCTCGATTCCTACATCTCTTTAAGATTACTAACTGTATATCATAACAACTACCACTTAACATCGTAAGAATACTATACCGAACCGCCCGTGTATCGACACTGAGTGGCGCTCCTCTTCGTATACGGTGATGAAGGATCTCATACAGCCTGCCCAACACGTTAGATCACACTTCGTCATTTGCCCATATGGCAGCCCATTTCTACATCACATGCTGGATTCACAGACAAGTACAAAGTCCGAAACTTTTTGCCACTTCATCCCGCACTTGTTACAGTTCAAAAATCTTATCAGGCATTAGCCTACATATCCAAAGCTACTGTTCTACATCTGTTTTCTTTGTCATATTATCTCGGCGTGCAATACTTCGTGCGCTACAGATTGGCCATATACAGTTTGGCTCGAGTGTAATTTCTACTGAAACCAAACCGAATATGCTGGCAGGTTGCCTCGCAGAACCTACAACCACTTCGATAATAAACAGTGTACATAAAAAAAGACTGACAATTGAAGATCTTACCGAGCGTACCAGCAACAATTGGCCTTTGATGGTTGATGAATCAATCTCGCTGCGGATATAATAATGCTTCCAAGGTCCACTACGCGTGCACAGCATACGATGGAGAGAAAGGCGGCAAACGCTCCTTCCAGGGACACGTGCTTCACAGACGGCCGAAAGAGGGCGCTATTATATACCTGTACATTATAGGGATCATGAAATTAATAAAATGAATAAACACTTGAACATATTTTGTGTAAATGTACATTCCTCTGAAATGTATGACAACTATCAGACTTCCCGGTTTGGTTAAATTGTTTGTAGGTGCATTTGTTTAATATTTAAAACGATCCATGCTTTTCATGACAACTGCATGGCTCTATTAAGGTTCAAACAAGGCTCAAACGCCTGGAGCTTTACAACACTGCCAGCAAATTCTCAATTAAAAAACAACACGATGCACAGTTATATCATGCATATTATTAGCATTGCATACGCATGGCTTGAGCTTTGACTCTCTGTCGACGCCTCGAAACCAAGATAATCAGCGTCGGTAATTTTTCGAATTTATTATAACTTCTGACATGGCAGTGCATTAAATATCATCAACACGAAATGAGTTATTGTATGCATACATTTCGCGATAGTAGGTATTTTCCCCCCAAAAGTATGCACCCGTATCCCAAAAGGAACGGCCATGCTTTACAAAAAAGAAGAAGAAAGGGATGTTAGTTTATCCTTTAAATGAAGGGAAAATGTCAGCCCTCTCTCCTATGAACGATCATGACCATGACACAGGTCATGATTTAATTCTAAAACAACATAATGTCGTGGGATCCACCGAAATGGCGACATGTACATGTATGTACACTAAACATATTGCACCACTTATACGTGATATGCACAGCTTGTTGAGTTCAGTATTAGACGCACACGTTGCATGGCATGCTCGCTGCATTAGATCCCATACCGCGTCATCCTCATTGTTTGCTCTGATGAAGGTGGGCGGGTAATTTAGAAATCGTATGAATTTTAAAATAAGCCCACATCATCAACCTTGGCAGGCAAGTCATCTACCGTGGCGGTGTTTTAGAGTTGTAATTAGTTGCGGATGATCAACGTTGCTGTCTCAGTAACGACCGACCGAGTCATCTACATAATACACGTACACCTTTACGACCAAGACACAAAAAAGAACAGAAAAGATAATTGCCCAAATATTACCAATCGAAGAAAATTAAGGCTTTCAGGTTCTGAAAAGATTCCAGGATGATAATTTCTTGGATCCGTTTTCATTCATGCACACGCAAATCCTTTAGATACTAAGACACTGATATGAAATAACGTCAAAAGACGTTATTTTTTAGACCTATACCCGTCGGATTACACTAACATGAAATTTAAGCATTTTATTTCGCATTGAAAAGAAAATTCGTCTCTTAAACAATGCCTTCGAAAGTTTCTCAGATAATCGGCCCACTATTTAAAGGCACTTTCATGAAATATACCGATTTAAGGGGTATTATAGAATACATCGTTCCACTGAGCTGTTCAATGAACTGTGCCCATTGGTGCTGGAAAACACGAAAAAAAATCAGTCATTTTTGAGTGTTTGCAAATGATCCTAAGTATATGACTTTAAAGACGACAATCATACAGGGGAATAACACAAGGAAAATCTTAATTGTCATAAACGACTTGAATACAGCAAGATGCAGTTTGCAGTAACACAAAGTTCTTTCTTTGCGAGCCGACGTTTCCAACAGTGCACTTTGTCCGTCTTCAGTCAGATGAACGTCGACTGAGTGTGAAGTACAGATAAACATGCATCTCGGATTTTATCCTCTTCGTTTTATATCCATTTCAGCGCCAAAGCTATGAATAATCGAATTAACGGAATTCAGCCTATCAATACTACAAAGAAAAGCCCGCATGATGCATCCAGTTATTGCATCATATTTAAGTCCCGTCAGCAAAGACGACTGAGTGCAAGTCTAGGTATATGAACGAGCATCTATAATTTAGTTGTGCGTGTGTTTTATGACGAGGACTACGATAATATGATGATGGGAGATAATTACAAGAGACCTTGAGTTGAATGGGAATGACTAAGCGTGATTACTCAGTTAATGACTAGTGACATTACAGTACCTGCCATAGCTGCGTTACCCAGGCCCCATCAGGGTTAATTATACCAATCTGAATATTCACGAAGAAAGCAACGAGGATGGAGAGTGTTTGTTTTCAGTGACAAAGTCAAGATAAGTTACCAGGAGACGTGTTCAGATCGTTCAACAGTCAATGCTTTGTCGTGAAATGAAAAGTGACAAACGGCAAGATCCAACAATTTTGGAGAGCTGTTTATAAGCAGAAAATACTGCTTCGCAAATTTGTGCTAAGCACGAGTTAGATGAGAACCAGTAACAAGGAATATAAATCACATGACATTATTGGTTGGTTACCTGATAGTGCTAAGCGAATATATTCTGTGCTTAATACCAGACTTTTATGCTCCATGTAACAATTAGCCCCTGTCGGTTGTTCTGGGTTAGTCAGGTTGGCGCAGTGGTACCTTTCATCGCCTTTCATTTGTTTGATCCGGGTTCGAATTCCGACCAATTTCAAGCCCAGACACCGATTCTTTGATTCCTGGAGTTTTTCTTGTAAAATCACTTGCTTCCATTTCGATTATCTACCCACGCGTGCCACGATTTTATAATAGAATTTAGAGCATGAGGAACATTGGTTTCATTACCAAAATACACAAAAAAACCTAAATCAAATAAATAGTTATAGTAATTATGCAATTCTCTAATCTTGCCCAGCCTTTGCAATTTGGCCTATGATACTGATAATCAATTACGCCTGATTCCACTGTCTTTCACATTGCACGATTAATTGCAATTTGACATAAAACCTTTAAAAAGCTTTATCATGATCAACACAAATTACTATGTTATGTTTTATTTTTCATCTACCTTTGTTTTCTTAACCTGTGCCTCGAACAAAAGAAC